AGACGAGTTTACAACCCATTAACCAACCGAGCAGCTCAAGGATAAAATCCACCCTGAGATTAAAGGAATCCTTCGCGGAAAATTCTTGCATTCTTTCTTGACATGAATGTGTCAGTTGTGATCACTGGAAACAGCACACAAAGTTTCACGCATGAAGATTCGGTTTCCGAAGAGAAACAAACGTACAAAAACTACACTCTATGGACAATCGAAGGTAATTCGGGCGGAGCCAAAGGCGAGGCATGGAAAGAAGTTGGCCTTTGGCCGGCTACGTATCAGGCGACGCAATGAAAGAATCGGGTTAAAGCGCGCGATTTTGGAGAGTAGAGACAAATCGATCGATAGAATAGGATGGAGTAGAAGTGTAAGATGTGAATGCAATAAAGCAGAAGGCCAGAAAGAGTTTCTAGTGAAGGCACTCCAAGAACCAAGTGGAAGCATCCCGTCGCCAGCATTTGTGAAAGACGTCCGTGGGCACTTTGAACGCGTAGCAGCCCTTTCGATTTTTCGAATTTTGAAATTTATGCTTATCGTGGATAATGAGTCTCAAGCCAGTGACTTATGGCTGAAATAGAATCATGATTTTTCCGTGAAGGATTCCTTTAATCTCAGGGTGGATTTTATCCTTGGGCTGCTCGGTTGGTTAATGGGTTGTAAACTCGTCTGGGAGGATTTGTAGAGAAGTGTACTCACGTGTGAATGCGGCTTGGTCCAAGTGGTTTTCTGTGACGGTGCTTTTGACAGGAATTCCGGAACGCTCCAAATTGAAGATCTGTAGGACGTTTGTGAGACTAGAGGCAAGGTACGGCGCTATACGTTGACTCGCTACCAAAGAAATTGAGATCTGTCCCGGTAGAGGACGGAAATGCTGCGCTTTACGGCTGGTCACTCGATTAGATCACGTTCGAAATGTACGGCATCGCTTTGGTGTAGCTCCCATTGCTGATAAGATGCGCGAAGCCCGGCTTCGATGGTATGGCCATGTTCTTCGCGGAAATGATGACAGTGTCCGTAAGATCGGCCTCAACAGAGACGTGCCGGAAAGCGGCCTAAGGGACGCCCAACGCTGGCTTGATACACTCCATGTGAACTTCAATTTAGTCAGCATCCATCCCGATCAGGCATTTCCGGAAACGGTGGCGTCAGTATACTAGAAAAGCGGAACCCCGCCTCCAAGTGCGATGAACGCTTGAAGGCAAGCCCGGAATAAAACTGGTGTTTATGGGCACCGTACTGCTGACTGAGCTGCGGAATGAACTGAAAGTTGAAAGGAGAGCAAGAGAAATCATTGGAAACGCTAAAAGTATACTCGATATCCGATAGTTGGGGTAGGTGTGTCACCGGAAGTGACGTGCACTTGATAGAAGTTGCGTGGATAAGCTGTTTCCAGCATACATCGCTGGATATCAGCAAAGCATGCTGGCAACAGCTTATCCACGCAACTTCTATCAAGTGCACGTCACTTCCGGTGACACACCTACCCCAACTTTCGGATATCGACTGTAAGACCTTGAGCTACAATAACGACGAATGTGGTACGATAGCGAGACGGAGCGATCAGAGAAGACAAACTAGAAAGCACGCTGATCTCTATATCGACAGCGGTGGGTGGGAAGCGTTGCAGCGAGGGTCGATGGTTGCAGGTTCGTAATGGATTAGCGCCCTAATCGCGCAATTTGGCAACGAAGCTGGATGATCTAGAAGGTACGGACCTTACAATTTCCCCCGTGGTATCCTTCCTACTAGTCGGGCTAATCCCGGGGTTTGCCTTTAAGAAGAAATAAACCCACTCATGCTTCGCATTCTTGGCCGCCAAGAATGTATTGAATCGCAACGAAAATAATTGCTGGATTCGACCCTCAATTTCAAAAACTCATATTTTTCTTGAAATTGAACTTTATTCCGAATAATAATTCCCACAAGTACTACAACAGTCCGCCATCGGTCGACAAGGAAACAAATGCCTCTCCTTCAAAATTCGGCAGGTTTCGAGTCGAAGAAGTGCCCATGTCCGCTTTCAACTGTTGACAGTTGTCGTACTTTTTATCCTTTGAGAAGTGAGCCAGGGAAAGGAGCAGGTGGTAATCCGTAGGTGCAAGACCTGGCGAATATGGAGGATGGGGTAAAACCGCAGATCCAAGTTCCGCCAATGTGTCCTGGGTTACCCTTGCAACATGGGTCGCGCGTTGTCATGAAGAAGAAGGACTTCGTCCAGCTTCGGGCGAAGTTTCGCGACTTCAGCTGCGAGCCTTCGTGGTTGTGAGCAGTACACCTCAGCGTCGACGGTGGTATTGTCTGGCATCTCGTAATGACGTGTTCCCCGAACACTCCACCAAACTGACAGAGGAACTTTCTTGGGATGAACCTCCTGCTTTGGAACAGGCTCTGGCTTCTGGTTCGCACCCATTCACTGTCTTCTTCTGGTATGACATACGTAGAGCCCCCACCTTTCATCTCCAGTAATTACATTATCCAGCCAGTCGAAACGGCGACTCCTTGCAAGAAAACCTCTGCACACCCCGATACCTCTTTTCTTGCAATGCTCTGTCAGCTCATGCAGGGATCCATCGACCAAGTTTATTGACTTTTCCCAGCTTGTGGAGGGACGACCTATGGCAGAATGTATTGAAGTAGCAGCTCCAAACGTTCGAAATTGACTTCCGTTGGTTGTCCAGGACGAGGTTCATCTTCGAGGTTGTAGTTTCCTTCGCGGAACCTTCTGAACCAAAGTTGGCAGGTTTTTTCACTTACCACTCCCCTACTTCCACAGAGCATATTTTGCGGCAGGCTTCGCTCGCTGTGTGTCCCAGACAAAATTCGCAAAGAAGTCAGTGGCGTACATGGGTAGAAACGTATGGCATTTTCCAGGCTCCAAAAAGCGTGCAGGAGGTGAGACTCGAGAATATGAAGGAATATCACCATCCCTGTATATGGTTAAAATTTCCCCTTGCAGGTTGATGCGCAGCCGTTTGACAGATCTATGAAAATTCGGCAAGGACCTTCGTTGCATCCTAATATTAAGCTGCGCTGATAGGCAAAGCTTCAGGACGAGAGCACTTTTTCATGATGTCTTACTGTGAGTAACCTAGCTGGATGTGGTTTGGAGAAATGTAGGAGAGAACGATACAGTACATCATAGGATTACTGTCGGGAACATCCAGTAGAAAAAATGGAAATTGATTTTCCCTCCAAAAACAGTGATTGAAGCGATTTATGAGTGAAGCTCGATTACGGACTGCAATACATGCTTTGCTACGCTTCCATATTGATCCCAAGAAGGGTAAGCAGTTCTCATGGAGGAGTGTTCACTTCCTTGAACAATGCGATTGTGACAATCGCTGGACACTTATAGGCGTATGTGGCCCCCCTCGCCCAAACGCACCACCCACGTGCACTGTAGAATTTGAGTGGCTTTCGAATGGGAGGTTTCCTAGATCAGATGCAGCCATACATTCCTAACTCAAACAACGTTCACTAGAGGGAAATTATACAATAACCAGTTTTGCTTCGCCCGCTATCGCGCGCATCACACGGCAGGCTTTAGCGAAACTTGGAGGACCCATGGAATATCAGCATGAGATACTCCATTAACCATCTCACTATTGACTGTGTTAGACCCTCCACAGTTTCACTGAAGCTCATCGAGAATACGCGTGATAACGTCTGGAGCTGAACTGGTATATTGATCACAACTCTGTAAACATCCAGCATTCTTCTTGAATTAAGATAATTTAGCGGTGAATAGGATTGCTGTCAGTCTCAAAATCAAAACGAAATATGCCTATTTACATAAGTGAGGAGCTAATATTGTATAACACAGAGAGGCACCAAAATTTTATTTCAATTCCAAAAGTTCAGAAAGTTCAAAATTCCAAAAACTCGAAAGTTTCAAAAGAGCAAAAAGCTATTTGAAAAAGAATCCTTTTGAAATCCTCCGCGATATTTCGGTGTTTAACACCTTCTTCAGGCATGTGTTTGCCACTGCCAAGTGTAAAGCTT